GTGTCTGTGTCTGTGTGTGTGTTTGTGTTTGAGTGTGTGTGTGTGTGTGTGTCTGTGTCTGTGTGTGTGTGTGTGTTTGTGTTTGTGTTTGTGCTTGTGCTTGTGCTTGTGCTTGTGCTTGTGCTTGTGCTTGTGTTTGTGTTTGTGTTTGTGTTTGTGTTTGTGTTTGTGTTTGTGTTTGTGTTTGTGTTTGTGTTTGTGTGTGTGTGTGTGTGTTTGTTTGTGAACTTCCCTAACACATGGGAAAACAGGGTCACTCCTACATTTGTCCGCCGTTGCGCACTGCAGGGGGCACAGGCCTGTCTAATGAAGCTATTCCAAGACAAGGGATGGGTGGTCTGATCAACCACCTGTACCCGCAAAGTGATGAAGAACGTAAAAGGCATCTAGCATTGTCGACGTACATTGACTATCCTCGCTGTTGATTCTTGAACAGTTTGCAGCAGCCGTGGCTTGTGCGAAACAACGAACAACAACCCCGCATCACCCCTCTTCTCTGCTTGCCCCTTGCTCTTGCCGAAATCCCACAGGTGTGCGTGCCTGGAAGAACACGTGGAATGGATGCCATGTGTTATGCAAGAATATGCACGACGTACCAAAACGCGTATTGTGGACATGTCTCAAGGCCACACACGAACAAACACATCTAGCTGGGATGCATCGGGACAGGCATCGTGACAGACTGTATTCGCTACAGTACGACACAAAGTTACCATGCCACAAATGCATCTTGTGACCTTGACACACGATGCGTGTCGCGTCAAGTAAACTTACGCGACTGTACAGTTATCTACACTGCTTTCCGTATCTGTTGTTTGTCTGCAAAAACGGACGGGCCATGCTGAGGATGATGAGACTCGGAAAGAAGCCACCCCATCCGTATTCCTGCACCTCGGCACAGTGGAAGGCTTCTGCTACACGGCTCGGCATGGCTCCGCATGCCTCCGCGGCAGCTTTGGGGCCCGCGCCAAGAGCGCAAACGGCAGTCCTCAACACCACAAGGCATCGTCACACAACTCGCCCTCAACTTCTGCGCCTGCACACATCGAGCCCAGCTGCGCCGGATAGGCTAACAGACCTGCACCACGCAGTCTGTTAAAGCATGCAGTGCGAGACTGCTGCCCAGGCCTCCAGCAGTTGCAGCAGCCTTGCGCGGCACCTGACCCACTGAAGCGGATCACACCAGTGGCCAGGCTGGGCAGAGCAGCTGGGCCCACCGTCTCTACTCCAGTCATGGTGATGAGGGTCTGGGGCCCATAGATGGCGAAGCCTCGCGTGAACATGCTCTCAGGGATGCCAGTGACATACCCGTGCAAGGTCTCAGAAACCAGCCGAAGGCCGCCATCGCAAGCCATTGGAAAACCTGCAACACTCGCTCTAAGTTGTCACACACATGTGCATGTCTTCCGTGGCTTCAAGGACGCGGCTGCAAGAGGCGGCACCACCCACAGACAAAAGACCTAGACTCAGGTCGGTCCGCAAACCAGTGCCTGTCGTTCCGAAGTCCCAGTCTCAGGTCGCTTCCGCAGCGGCTGCGAGAAGGGAGTATGCAATCATCACCTCGAGCTCAAGCCGTGCAGCAAGCCGCGGCTGCTACTTGGGCCGGGCCTGGGCTCGCAAGCCCGCGGCTCCTCGCTTCGGGTAGCGGCTGATCAGCCAATCGGACACCTTGCCGCCAAAGCATCGCCTCTTTCCGAGGCTTTTCCGCTCCTGCCTGGCCGGAGACGATGCAGCCGAGCAGGCCTTCCGGAGCAGCGCGCGTGCTCGCTGCCGGATGCGACTCGCGCCGCTGCCTCCGAGTTCGAAGCCGCTGACTCGCGCCGTTGCCTCCGCCAAGTCCAACGCCAGGTCACTGCCAAGAGCCCTCTTCATCCTGATGGGGGGCCTCCAGGGCTGGAACACCAAACTCATCCATGATGTAGAAATGTGCCTCAGTTGCTATACAGACATCCGCCAGAGATCTCAACTGCCGTGCTTTGGGTGAGATTCTGAAGGCAATCACGGCCGTCCCTGGCGGTTTCTGCCTGGACGGCCTGGGCGGCGGCCGGGCCTTCTTGCGAGTTGCAGTCGTCTTGGTTCTTGGTCTCAGGTTTTGGCCTTCGGGTGCGACTTCCACCTTCAGCGGCAGCCTTCGGCTTGTCCGACCGCTTCAACGGGATTTCGCAACTAGCACCTGCCATTTTTCTCCTATGGCGAAGAATCGTCTCTTCAGCACGCAAGCCCCAATGTCCGGATGCCTTGGGTGTACGCTGGGCCGCGCATGGTGTGCCGAAGCATCTAGACAAGAGGCGGTCTCTGGGAAAGCGCTCCGTCCTCGTGGAACACAGTGGGACTTGGTGTTGGAGGCATATGCCGTGAGGCCGCAGTTGACGCAGCTAGCATCTGGGTCTGGGGTCTCGTCATGGTCCGCCTCTGTGTCTGGATGCTGCAAAGGCCTGGGAGTAAATACTTCAGCCCGGTGGTGTACAATGAGCAGGGACCTGCTGCTTTATGGGCTCCAAAGAAACCCAGCCATCTGAAGTGATCCTAAGCTTGCAAGCGGGGGAGGAGGCAGTCCAGAAGGCCTGACGGTGCCGAAGAGCAATCCTTTCCACGGTGGGCGGAATCAGCAACCCGGGCAAGGCAGGATGGAGGACCAATTGGGCCAAGCGTAGCTGAAACAATGCCGCCAAATCTGCTCTATAGAAGCAGGGCGGTGCGGGTGCAAAGTGAAGCCACTGTAGGATGTATGGGAGACCACACAGAAACATGCCTCGTCCGTGAAAGGGAGGGCGGGGGCCCAAGGCAAATGGGTGCACAGGACATTTTGAGTGTAATGACTGGACCCGGCTGCTGCAGATCAGCTAAAAAGGTGAAACAATCCCCGGCTGTGGGCACAAATTGTTCACTGTCCTGGACAAGGCCTCTGGGGCTATAGGTGAATGTAAGAATTCAATATTCAAGGCAGCCGGTAAGATGAAGTCAAGGCTTTTCTGTTTTGCTCAAGGCTAATGTTTCTGTCAGGACACAAAACGTGGTCTGTGCACCAGCCCTTCGATATCGTGCTCCGCTGCGTGGTGCGTGTTTTGGGCTCACGGGGCACCCCTGAAGTGGCCCTTGAGACTCTAGGCTCTAGGGTCCATATAACGTTGTAATCTACGCTAGCATAAGAAATTCCAAGGTTTCATCCACACGGAGTTCATTCTTGTTTCCCCAGCTGCAACCCTGCGCTGACATGTGCCAAACATGGCCTTTGCTGCTTGCCAGGACAAGGCACCCAATTAAGCACACCTTGCCGGATGAAGTAGATGAAGAAGTGCATGGCCTGAGGCGATCTGCCTGTTTCTGCTAGCTGGCGATGGTGCTGAGGCCAGGGAGCAGGCTGCCATGCACCACAGAAATCTGTTTTGAAGAAGCGAAGCCCAGACCTCTTCGAGCAGAGATTACAAGGTGATGTTCTTTCGTTGGAGCCCTTGCCTTCTCGCTCGAGTCCTCCACTGCAGGCTCAGCGCTTGAACTAGGCGCCTGTGAACCGTTTCTCTCTCGCGGCTTCACTTCCACGTGCAACATGGGTTTAGGGAACCTCGTCCGCGGACGCGGACGCGAATCTTGGGGCAGCCCAGTCCTCCCGAGCCAGCAAACACCATCCGATGACCGGCGAAGGTGCACGATGACATCGATAATGCTTTTGACCGACCGCAGGAAATCGAAAGACCGTGGGTTCCCGTTCAGGAAATGGCCCAGATTCGGACGGCTCACCCAAGACTCATTAACATGCGGCAGCCTTTGCCAGCATCAAGAAATGCTCATCCCGCTGAGCGTACGACTCGTCGAGGGGTGGCTGTTGCTGCTTTCTTCAGCTCGACAGCTGAGCTCGTTTACATGCATTGTAGACGAAATCTGTGAGAGCCTCAGCGCGATTTGCACCGTCAAACACGACAAACAACCAATGCAGCCATCCCCACAGCGTTCGCGGACCATCAAAGCCGAGCACCGAGGCTTGCGCCATTCCAAAGGCAACCCTTGCAGTGCCCCAGCCCAGCTGCATGCGAGCTTGAAGAAATTTGGCGGATGCCCACACTGATTCCTGTTTGCATTTGTTCGACATTGAAGCACCCGAGAGGTAGCGGAAACCATCTCCTGTTGCACCGCGCCGTGCCACAGCGTGCCCATGTGCCTCCGCCAAAATCGCCTGTGCCGGCTTGACTCGCACGTAGCATTTGCGTCATTCATGCAACACATGGTGCTGGTAAAACCACTGGGTTGACAGCGTCTTGTCTGGCCAGCGCTCCATGCCGACCTTTTTGCTTTCACGCCAACTGCGGTAGTGAACCCTTCTGCCACAAGCCTTGAGGCTCTCTGCATACGCCATATTCCTGCCAGCACAAGCACTCAAAGGGTCCTTTGCAGCCTTTACGGATCAGGTGCGAGTGGTGCCCGCAAAAGGCGAGGAAGGATGGATGGATGGGTGGGCGGGTGGAATGAAAAAATACATAGCGGGGTGTGGGGCGTGCAGGCGCGTGGGGGTGGCTTTCGTGGGACAGCATGGGAGCTACAGGGGTGGGTGGGTGTGGGTGGGTGGGTGTGGGTGGGTGGGTGGGTGGGTGGGTGGGCGGGCGGGCGGGCGGGCGGGTGGGCGGGCGGGTGTGC